AGAGGGAGAGAGAGAGAGAGAGAGAGCGGAGAGAGGGCGGAGAGAGGGCTAGAGGGCGAGAGGGCGAGAGAGAGGGAGAGAGAGAGAGAGCGAGAGAGAGAGAGAGATTAGAGAGAGAGAGAGAGAGAGATTAGAGAGAGCGGAGAGAGGGCGGAGAGAGGGCGAGAGGGCGAGAGAGAGGGCGGAGAGAGGGCGAGAGAGAGGGAGAGAGAGAGAGAGAGAGACAGAGAGAGAGGGAGAGAGAGAGAAACAGAGAGAGAGAGAGAGAGAGAGAGCACCCGCTGACAGCAAGTTGGGCTGTGCTGCAGCGGTTTGTTTAGGTAGTCTTGCTTGTGCTTTGACATTCGCCTTGTTGTTGTCGTTCTTGTTGTTGCTGCTTTTGCTGTTGCTGTTGCTGTTGTTGCTACTGCTGTTTTTCTGGTGGTTGTTCTGGTTGTCTTTCTGGTTGTTGTGGCTGTTGTGGCTGTGGTTCTGTCACGGTCGTGGTCGTGAGTCTGGCCGTCGTCGTCAGAGTTGTGCAATAGTCAGGGGGTCGCTTGACACCATCAAATTAGGGTTGCTTGTGACCGTCCCCGTGATTGCCCCACCCCGCCCGCAAGTGACCCAAAAAAACGTGGTCGCAAGCGACCCCGATGATCACAAGAGCAACCCCAATCGTCTGGCGAGATGGCGACCTTGGGTCTGTCAGGCTGCCCTTCGATTCGCTTTTATTTGTTCTGTTCTCCTGCTTCTTTTTTCTGCTTTTGCTTTCAACGGCGCACGCGCATCCAAACGTTGTAGCATTGCGTGCCATTGCGGACCAGCGCCAGCAACTTTTCCAGTTCTTGGGTGACGGACAGCGTGACCCAGAGGGGAACGCACGCCACACAGGCACTTGGCCGCGTAGTAGGGCGCGCAAGGGACCAATGGCGAGCACCAAACGACAAGTCTTCCCCACCTTGCGCGGCGCGCGGATGTCGTCCCCCAGGGGCCGCAGGCGGCGCAAAAACTGCTACCGCTTCAGGGTTGCATCAAGCGTTGATGACATTGCCGCACTTGCACTTGACCAAGTCTACCGCAGCCTTCAGGACAAGCTGGGCAGGCTCTATGTCCGCTTCGCTGGGTGCCAGCCAAGTCCTGAAACACCACGCCAGATCAAGTTCAGGCAGCCCTCAGCCTGTCATTGCCGGCGTCGCATGTGTCGCCTAGCGAGCGTGCCCAAGCCAGCGCAGACCTTCCGCGCAGCCACTCTTCAGTCAGTCTGCCCGCGGCCAGAGTTTGGTGTCCGGCCGCACAGCTTCCGGCCCGGATGTCTCGAGCCCCTTCTGTACTGCAGCCGGGAATGTTGGATCTCACCAGGCAACGGAGAGTCTGGAATGTCCATCTGACACCGCCTTGTGCTACAAGTAAAGGCTTTACTCCTTTCAGTGCCGAAGTAAAGCTGGCGTGTCAAGAAGAAGTCTGCTTTTCGAAAGCCGTTTTTGAAACCACAATCAGGCTAGCGAGATGCTGTGTGGGGAGGCGGGAGAATGAAGCTCACCGCCATGTGGTGTAACACACCATCCCTGAAGGCTTTAAGCAGGCCACTCAGGCCTCGGTCACAAGCGATTCAAATCCTCGACGACTATAAGCGCCAACACCTTGTTGAGTCGGCTGAAACACTTCGTGTTTTTGAGCCAGCGCAGGTTCCCCAGTCAGGCTCGGCTGCTTAGACTGACCGCGCCCTCTGAGCAGAAGGGTTGGGATCGACTTTGACTGGGCCAGTCGCGCTCAGTCTGGCTTTGTTGACACCAAAGTGTTAAACCCGAAGCAGGCCAAGGCGGCAGCTGGGAGTAGCACCCCCTTTGTCGTTGCCAATAATTGTACTGGTCCACGGCTTGCACGGGCTGCTTGGTCGGGCGCACCTCATGACAAGCTTGGACAGGACTTGCTCCCTGTAATCAGGCTTTGGGCGCTTGTTCTAGCTTGAGCGCCAATGCCTGACAGCGAAAATGACAACAACAGTAGCCAGGAATGTCAAAGCTGCAGGTTTGGACCAGCAGGCTCAGTACTGTGAAGCCACTTCAGGTTTGAGCCCCACGTGTAAAAGACCGAGCCTTGCTCGGTTCTTGCGGTTTTGGTGCGTCTTCCGTTTGCGTTATGTTTGCGTGTTTTTGCGCTGCCCTGCCGCTGCTGCTGCCGTTGCCGCTGCCACTGCTGGCGCAGGTGATGTAGACGTTGTCGGCATGGTGTGATTCACTGTTTGGAGGGTACTGCGTGCGTTGCGACTTAGAATCTTACGCTTGGCTGTGTTTTTGGCAGGGCTTTGTTTGCAATGCGTCATGATATGTTGTTGTCCTGATGTCATCGGTTGCGATGATGCGCGCAGACCAGCCAAGGCAAACCAAGTGCCTCAGTGTTCCGAGCAAGCGCGGAAGGCGATGCGGTCCAGATGCGTTGAGCGAGTTTACACCGCTTCATGACATATGACGCGTCATTGCATATTCAAGAAGGCGAGGCAATCCTTGCGTGTTGTCAACAAACCTGCTGAGAGGCTGGCAGCATGAGAGTTGGATATTGGATGGAACGGTTGTGTTGCATGCTAATCACTTGCTTTGCTCAGCCCTTTTTTGACAGCCATGCAACGGGCTCATCAATGGAGGAACAAGAATGATGCACATCTGGAAGAAATTGCATTTGCTCACAGGCAGATTACGCTTGCAGTGGCGTTATCCTGGATTCTCCTTACACATTGTTTGGGCACGTTTGACGCGGTTTAATTGAGAAACGCGATTTGAAAACCAAGTCGGACAATGTAGGTTGAAGAAATTAGTTCCACAGTCACCCGAGGGTTGCGATGAAGGTTGAAACAGTTGTTTGCAACATGGTTTGCACAGTGCAGCAGACTTGAAATCAGAGGTGCCGGGTGGCTGACGGTTTGTTTTTGATGTGAATGTTCCGTGACTTTCTGTTTGGCGTCGGAATGCTTAGCATCATGACCCCCCCAGTCTCCTCCGCACTACCTTGCCAGATCTTGCGACTGTGCACCACGCCAGCGCCACTTCCATCTGCCAGGGCGCTCACGGTTGGGGCAGGGGTGCCAGGCTGTTTGTGGCATTTTGCGCGGGGAAACGGTTTCCCCGCCAAGGCTTACCCAGAAATGAGCGGCCCATACCAAGTTGTCAGGCCCCCTTCAAGCTCTAATTTGTTTGAGGCAGCTTGTTGGTGCGCTTCTTGCTGATGTGTGTTCCTTTAGGTTTTGCTTGTGCAACTGCTATATTAAACCCTGTCACAAGCGTGCCATGGTTTCTACCTTCCGCAATCAAGTATCTTGTGATAGCAGCTTCCAATGGGAAATGGCATCACGGTGCCCATTTTGCCTTTGTCGGAACCGGCGCGTTCCATGCAGTTTCCAGCTCCCGACAGCAGCGGTCCTGCCTTTCACGTTTGCTTGTAGAGCCTGAGTGGTTGCAGGCAACCATCAAGCATGTTGCCTTATTTGCATTAGCTGGAAGGCTTCGTGGTGGCTGATATGGCCGTGAGCTGCGTAAATGAATGCCAACGCAACCACTTTCCACAGACTGCAGTGGAGCAGGTTTGTGTGTTTGCGCAGTAGAGAGCGTGTGGATCCAAACACATGGCAGTAGCAGAGTTGACAGGATACATAATTGAACTTGCTAAAGGGACTGCACCATACGGCCTTTTCGGTCCTTGGATGTTTGTTGTTGCTTTCCTCCTGGCATGTTGCCTGCAAGACGGCCAGTCCTGGCCCAGGTGTAAAGAGAAGAGCTTGCAGTATTGTGCCAACCGTTGCCAGGGCACCCATTATGGCTTCGACTTGTGATTCGAACCTTCCTCTTCAGTGTCCTGCATTTTGATCCACATCCACGTAAGCAAGACCGCTGTGTAACTGGCCTGCCCATTTCACATCGCCCCTGTTTAGCCGAAGGCCATCACAGTGCCAGCAGCCAAGCTCCGTGGCTGATAGATTGGCGGGGATTTGGTGCTGCACACGGATAGTCTCATCATTTTGTGGAAAAGATTGTTGCTCTCCAGCGCAAACTAGAAAGTAAGGAGACATCCGCACTGTCAATGGAGAAGCCTCGCTTCTGCATCTATTCGGCCTCGAGGGGCGTGTTCCTCCAAAGGCTATCCAGTTGCTTCCCATCTGCCGTGCCCGCCAGAAAGGGCTCAAGGCCACGGGAGCTGTGTGTCAACTGAGGCCGCCACCACCGCCACAGCCCTCGGGGCCCTCGGGGCCCTCGGGGCCCTCGGGGCCCTCGGGGCCCTCGGGGCCCTCGGACGCAAACCGCACCAAGAGTACGGGGCTGGTGAACGCGCGGAGGCTCAGCTGGGAGGCCATGAGCATCTTGGTGCACGCTGCAAAGTTTGATTGGCCTGGGCCAATACATCAGAGTCGATGCCAGGTTTATGAGCCAGCGTTGAAAGAGCAAAGGCAGCCGGCAATAAAGTCGATGAGGTTCAAGCTTAGCAGTAATGTTGACTTGAGTTGTGAGACATTAGAAGGAAAGTGGCATTAGGCAGCAGACGTTTCATAATTACTTAGGTTCATAGCTTGCGATTGACGGGGAGACGTCAAGGTCAAGACAGAATTCATGTGGAGCTTGTTGAAGCCGTACGTCTCAGGCCCGAGGCCGGCGCAAGAAAAACCCAGAGCGCCAGGTGCGCACGGGAAGCAGGATTCAAGTTGCGTGCGTGGCCGTGCAACTGGCTCAGAGCCCCTCAAAGCGGCTTGTCAACACGCTTATTTCATCTTCTTTTGGTTTGCCTGAAGGGTCCCACTGAAAGTTACAGTACCGTAGAGGTCAACATGCATTGCTCACGGACAGATTCAGGCAGTGATTGGAAAACAAGAAAAGGGTCGCAGGTCAGCGATCATTCAGTGTCTTTCTCCTTTAAAATCATGTTGCAAAGCTGTGGTAGAGGGCATTGCCATTGTCGCGGAGTGTTGTGCTTTCGCAGCCGCTCCGAAGCTCGAGCGAAAGTGGAGATCCTCAGTATCTTGGCACCAAGTATAGCATATGTTTGGCAGAATCCAAGACATGGCCGGCTAATTTTGGGGAGTCTTCCGAATCCTTTCCCATGGCTGGCCGAGACTGGGACTGGAGAGGTTGGGACGCTCGCCGGGGCATCGACAAGGGCCGCGGCAAGGGCAAGAGCGCTGAGGAGTTGACGCCCGAGAAGCCCGTGAGGGCTGAGAAGGCCGAAAAGGCCGAGAAGGCCGAAAAGGCAAAGCCGGAGGAAGGGAAAGAGGTGTCGGCTGCTCCAAGAGTCACTCGGCCTGAACCAGGATTGGGCAGCCAAGTGTATGTGAGCTAAGCTTAGGGGCTTTTGTTTCAGGCTCGATTATCTGCCGAGCAATAATGGGGGGAGGTGGACTGGCCTAATTTTTAGGGGTACCTTCCATTTCCATTCTTTCCAGGAATCCCTCTTTCCAGAAAACCTCCAGAAACCCAGGGATAACGGCAGGTGTTCGAAAAGAATGGGGAATCACCCCCTGGAAAAATGTTGTTTGGTCGCCGGTGAGCCAAGGCAAAGGACGAGGTGTTCGAAGAGATCCGCAATCTCCTGAATGCAAACTCCGCTCTGCAAATTCAGTTCTTCGATGCTCGTGTGAGGCAGCAGTTGCATGCGTTGTTGGGTTCTGGGGGGCGGCCACGACTCAAGGCTGCTTTGAATATGGTGCACACTTGCACCATGCACAAGACAAGGCAGGGTGTGAAAAATTGGCCGGCCTACCTTCTGACCCTTCTGAGAAAGTTCGAACAGGACACAGCAAAGCCTCAACCAGCATGGAATACGCCAGAGAAGGTCTGGCCGGAGCATGAGGATCCAGCAAGTCGAGCTGCAGATGTGGCAAAAGATGAGGATCCGCCGAGGGAGTTCCAAGCTCCACGAGCTGCTTGGCTCACCCGCAGTTGGCCGATTCACGGGTAGCCGTGTGCACCTTGCATGGTTGAGCAAATGGGTAGCAGTTGTTGAGTTGTGTTTCATTATTTCTCCTAGGTCTTTTCAGTTGATGCTTTCAATTAATAAAATATGTAGTTATGCTACAACAGAGTCCTCTCTGAGATGCCTTCCATTCTGACCCTTTCAAATTAGATATCCTGGCAGCTAGGGTTACAAAAGGTGTCCTTGCCTACGCAACCTGAGAATTCTTGCAGCTGGCTTTATGCTGCCGTGGAAAGCCCATGTTCTGCACATACCTGCCACTCCGCACACTGCCAATGGCACGTGCCCAATTGGCAAAGCCAAAGCCAAAGCCTTCTGGCCTTGAAGGCCGTCTTCTGCTTCAAGTGGGCTGCTGTTATTCGTGGATGTTTGTGGGAGGTGTACTATCTCATTTGGTTCCCATTGACGGATGCGGGGTTTTGAGTTCTTGTAGTTGGCTCACGCTCTTGTAGTTGTTCATCATCTTCTGCTTCTTCTTCTGCTTCTTCTTCTTATTATTGTCATTATGTCTTTATCTTCTTCTCACTTTTCTTTTCCTCCTTCCCATAGAAGGCGAATAATCGTGAGAAGCAGCAGTTGTCACTGCATTCACGCACGTAAACGTAGCATCGGTTGGGAAGCATCGCGCGGCCATACCGAGCATTGGAGCATGGGGAAGCTGGGATATGCTGGGATACGGTTGTTCTCTGGCCGAAGCCTGGACACGGGCTCAGGTGTGCCATTTCAGGAACAGGTGCCGCTGTGCGGTGCTGGTAGCGACACACTTAAGGGGATGGTAGGGCGCTGCTCACTCACCTGATGACAGTGCGGAAAAGGACATAGCTGACTTACATTCGTTGGGCGGCCATTTCTTGATTCTTTGGATTGCTTTTCCCCTGGACCCCACGCAAGCAAGATGCCCAGGACGCAACCATGGGACACATGCTTCGGTGTTTTGGCAGCTAAGGTAACCGCGCCTCCGCCCAAGGCGAGGCCGAGCCCCTTGGATTTCCGGTGTGAGACGAAGGAGGGACATTGCAACTTGGAGTGCTGTATGCTCGGAGCATCTACATCGAGGGATTAATTTCGAACTCCGGGGCGTCCTTTTGGCTTCACAGCTGGCAACTGGGGTCCTTGAGTTGGGAATGAGGGTTGGCCCCCGCTGGATCTAACATACAGCTTTTGTCAGCTACTCCATCAGTTTGGGCCCCAGGCTTCAGGAGACGAAATCCAGCCGCAGCATTTGAGCGGGGGTAACTATTCAGAATTTCTACCGCCCTCCTGGCAAGTATGGATGTGCTTTTTCCCTTAGTTGCGCTGGTTTTGGAGACCTCCACTTAAACCCAGCGAGTTTGCAGAACCAGTTGCCTGCAGCGCAGGCTGCCCGACAAGTGGCAGAAAACCAATGTGAAGCGGCATGTACCAATCTGTTCTTGTCGGGTAAGCTTAGAGGCTTGCCCTCGTTTTGAAGCTGTTGCCCGTCTCTAATTATAACAGCGACCCCGAATAGATGAGACGATGAAAAAGCTTGCCTTTAGCGGCTTTGAAAGCACACTATTCTGGACATTTGCTGCATGTGGCTATATGTGGCTGTTGTGCAGCATGCCTCTGCATGTGCATTTGCAATCCTGCAGGAGCAGCCTCCCGTGCGTGAAGAGCGAGATTTTCGGGAGCCTCCAATGCACCGAGCCAACGGCCTACCAGAGCATCCCGTGATGCGCTTGCATGATGGGCATCGCCTACATGATCCGGATGCTCCGCATCCATACCCACGCAATGTAGGCCTCCAAGACCATCCTTCACGCCGCGAGCGTGAGCTTCCAGCGCACTGGCAGGAGCACTTCGGAATGCGCCTGCCAGAAACACAGTGGCAGGGGCTCCCGTACAGTGGCCAGACTCATCCTGGGCTACAGCCTTACAGCAATCTGGAAAATTTCGGGCTGAACTTGGATGACACGTCTGATCGAGTGCCAGATGACAACCAGTCATATGGCAGCGCCTTTGGGTACGGAAGCAGGGTACCCCCAAAGAGCCAGGGAGGGTCCTCCATGCCAGGCAATCGGAAGCCCGGCCAGACAGATCTTTTCGCCCGGTGACCGAAGGAAGCAAATGAAGCGAGTTCTCGAGCAAAGCGGCTCACCAAATCGGAACCATGTAGCATGGCACAGGCGTCAGATAGCACTCAAAGCTAGGTTAAGCCTATGGTGAGCCGCGGCGGGGTGTGCCAAAGCAGGTCCCACAAAGTGGGGTCTATTTGCAATCTGGAACGGGGCCAGTCAGGCTCCATTACGCGCCCTGAAGTGGGCGCGCTTGGTGCCGCTCTTGGGACGCTCCCCCTTGAGACACGATGCCTCATGTGGATTGTTCGGTTGACTCGGAAGCACCGTTGCCTTTGCATGTTTTGAGGCGGCCGCCAAGTGTCTCAAGGGGGATCGCCCCGAGGACCCCATGTAGGACACTGACAGCAAGTCTGGCTGCACGCGCAGGTGTTACAGGGCTTAAGCTGAAGCCGTTGAAAACAAAACGCAATTTACAGAAGGCTTTGCAATGTTGGCTGCCCTTAGCAATCGTTTGGCCAAGCCAAGGGACCGCGGAAGTCAGGGCTAGTGCAGGGGTGCGCGGGTGCGGGGGTGGGCGAGTGCGCTGTTGCGCTGGTGCGCAGGTGCGCTGGTGCTCGGATGAGCGAGTGCGCGGATGCGCGAGTGTGTGGGTGTCGGTGCGCGTGCGTGTGTCCTGCGGGCGTGCGATCGTGCGGGCATGCGGGCATGCGGGTGTGCGGGCGTGTGGGCGCGTGTGCGGGCGCCTGCAACTGCGCCTGCGCCGGCGCTGGCCACCTGCGCCTGTGCGTGCTTGTGCGTGTGCGTGTGCATGTGGCTGTGTGTGTGTGCGTTTTGCCGGGAAATTCTCTCTAAAACAGAAGCTCATGATGGATATGTAAAGGGCAACCAACAGTACCCGCACCCATGTTACATTTCTGTAGGACCGGTCCGCTAAAAGGAAATTCCTCCACGAATGAGGGCTTTTGAGGTTCCCGGTTCATCTGCAAGCAGGGCTCCTGAGGTTTTGGCCTTTTTGTCGGGAAGAATTGCGAACCCAACAACATGTATTGGTCAAAAGGGAAAGCCCGGTCTAAAGCAAAATAGCACCTGTGCTCCCTCCCAGAAAGGTAACATTTTGGGCACTAACTTGTTCTTCCTTCGCGTTGCACGTGCAGGATGGCTTGCCTGTCAGTGGATGTAGGATAAGCGATGAGTCGCCTTTCTGAGGCTTCAATCTCTCAGAGGGTGGCTGTGACGCTGAAGTTGGGAATCCTTTGCCCTTTGCAGTCGAACCGCTGACTCGAGCAACAACATAAGAGCAAGCACTGCCTTGGAAACAAACACATCCACGACTCCATGATCAGGTGGGTATAGTGTTTCTGCTTTTGGCGGACCCAAGCCGTTGGCAAACGCAGCCAATTTGCAGCATGTTCACGGCATTGCATAGGCTCGTGCTCCGTTGGGTGCTTTCCCCAGCTACAAATCACTGGCGCATTCCGTGAGCAGCTTGCCTTACTGGAACCCCAACCTCAGCCGGACAGACAGGCCAAGGTTGCCCAAAGAGACACGCGTCACAAGCTGCTAAAATACTTGAGATCTGACTCCTGGTGGATGCCGGATGCACGTAAAGGACGGACTCTTGCAACATAAAGTGAATCAAGTTGTTGGTGCCCTTTGATTTCGATTTGTTGGGTCAACCACTTGTTCATACCCCAGTGCCACACATTTCGCGTAGGGGTTTCAATCACTTTTAAACAGGCGTGACCGCAGTTCTGTTAGTAGAGTTCCTTTTGATGGAGCAGTGACTCGTTTCCCATTTGCTTTTGCTGGCCTCTTGCAAAAGCTTCCCCTTGCGATGTGCCTAGCGCTGGGCTGTGAGGTGTTCAATGCCATGTTTCGGCAGGGTTGACTCCAGCTGGTTTTGGGAGGAAAGTCCCACTTGGCACTGACTTAGTAAGGAAAGTGCAGCATCAAACAGTCAAGATCTCAAGGTCCCGGCAGCTTTCGGGGCCGGGCCATTTTCCCACAGGTCCGAGGTATGTGGCCGACGTGAGGGACTTGTTGAACCAAAGAATTCGGCGCCTGAGGGATGGCCCCCCACTTGCCAAGCTTCGGGAACCAGCCGTGGCCCAGTCTCTTACCCGCGAGCGAAGACTCGATCGAAAAAAAGCCGCGCAGCGGAAGCTTTGGGCGCGATTTCCAGTTGAGCGATGCAAGCGCCAAGTTGCAACAAGCAGTGCCCAGGCATTGTTGAGCGATGTGGATGAGCCTGGCCCCTAGCATGCAGCGGTCAACTCGACTGCGACTCCAAAAGCTCGCAGCATCAGCCAAGCCAAGAGTCGCCAGCGATGTACTGAAGATTCCCTCGCAGCCTAGACGCAAGCTGCAGTCTTTTGAGAGTTGCTGGGTCTGCATGTTGGAGGGGCATTCGGGAAAAGCTCGCCACAAGCCTGGTTTTCCCTGCTAAGCTCGTACAAGTCCTAGCATCAATTAGAAACCGTGTCGCTTGCGAAATACTGTAAGCTGCGACCTGTCAAGCTCCCGACTGGCAAGGGTTGGTCCTGAAGCCTACGACTTGCTTGGCCAAAAAAGATACAGCAATTTCATTTCAGCACAGTCCAAGCTTGGCTGAAATGATTTAACGAGCTAGTGCGCCCTTGCAGCAACAACGTGCCGGTTGGTTTGTTTGCCATATCTCCTCCCGCTCTGTCGGGTTTTGCATCATAGTGGCCCTCTCGCAGACTCACTTTGGGTTGTCTAAATGTTGCTTTGATCCTTGATGTGGGCACACTCCACTTTGCTCTCACGGGATCTTTGAGATCTACCCACGTGGCAACAATTCCTTTGCCCCTGCCAGGATCAGAAGCTGGCTCGGACCCACTTGGGACGCCTAACGTGAAGAGTAATTGTTTAAGAAGATGTCTCTCATTTGGGCTCTCCCATTCTTGGATTCCCTGCCTGAGAATGGCGGAAGATGAAGCACTGGCCAGATGATGGAGAGGGGAACATTTCCACCACCCACCCAAAATAATCTTTGCTAGGTGGCCTGGGAGATTGCTACTTGGCCTATGCCACTCTGAGCCAGCCAATTTCAATGGTGTTCATCCTGGCTACCTCTCTCAAGGCCGAATCTTTTCACTACACAGCAGTTTCCTTTTTCATTGGCGGCAGATCAGCTGCATGTTTGTGTTTGGCCAGGTCTGCTGAACCAACGCCTGCTTCTCAGATCCCAAGAGAATCAGAACGGCCACTTAGAGAGGTTTGCGACACCACGATTGAAGCAAACGGGTCTGAAAAAATAGAACCCCCGGTTTAAATTGCCAAAGCCACGGTGGATGGACAAACTCGCTGAAACGCTATGACAACTGGGATATTGCCACCATCTTGTCGATCCACAGTATTGCGAATATTGTTGACAAGGCCAACTGCCTTCACAGTACCGCACTGCCGTTCGAATTTTTGGAAAGCAAACAACTAATGGAAACAGCAAATGCATTGCTAGAGCTGTTTTTTCAAGGTTTGACAAGCCCCGCAAGCGCCCTTTCAAGGTCATCCCCCCTACTGCCAAACAATGACGAAGAAGGAGAAATGGCACTCCCAAGCACTGGCAAACATGCATTGTCCGATTTCACGTGCAAGACTTGGCCACGCAGCTCTGCAAGATTCTGCAAGCCATTCAGCATGCAACACAAACCACCTGCAACAGGCAGAAACTTGAAAGCAAAGACAATCTATGGGTCACGAACCTCCAAAAAGATGCCTGCCTGACCCGCATGACGAGTTTGGCTTTTGCACCGGGTAAACATGCAAGTTCTTTTCTTCCGAGAGTATCCCAGGTATCCGTTGTGAGCCTTGCTCTTGCCTCAACCCTGCGTTCAAGTTCCGGAGGAATGAATGCGCGTTTGTCCTTGTAGAAAGGCCTTGCACTTCATTTGGCTGTGGGTCGTATCCCACTTTGGGGTAGGTGCACCACCCATTTTGGTCTATTTTAGTGGGGGATCGGGATGTTCTCTGGGGGTACGGGCTTTTGACCCATGGCCATTCGTCGCACTTTGGGCCAAGAGGCCCTCGGAACTTGCACCCAGGGAGTGGAAGCCCCTCGAGCCGCTCAAGGACCTGGAGACGGAGACTACTGCCAGCAGCCCGGCACTTGGAGGGCCACTAAGGTTGTGGGGGAGCTGCTTTTTGCGGGATTTTCCAGGAATTCGCTACATGGTCGTTTCTCCAGCAGCTCATCCTTCCTTCGCCTCATGCAAGGTTTCGCAATGAATGACCAGCCGCGCAGTTGTTCGCAAAAGTTTTTGCTGTGCCTCCCCAATGCTGATGGATCCAAATAGGGCACGCAGCCCTTGAATCAAAATCCAGGGGGCCCATACCAAGCAAAGCCCAGGCACGACGTTTCACAAGGATGGCGTTTCTTGCTGAGCGGTACATTCCACTCCTTGGTTCATCATACTTCCCTGTAATACGCCATGCAGATACGAGACTTAGGAAAGCCTATGTCCCTTGCCCAATTCTCACTCTTCCTGGGGAAATCACCGCTTCTTCAGGTGACGATGATGCCAAGAAACAGCTGAAGGAGGAGCGAGGAATGTAAATTGGGCCTTTGCTTGCCGAATTCCCAACCCAACAATGTTCTTCCACGGAACTAGTGCATTGGCCCGCATGATTGCAAAAAAGCAATCAATTTGGCCACAGGTAAGGTTACTTCTAGAGGCCGCGAAAGCAAACACCATAGAATTCACCCTCGACAGTGGCAAGGAGCCTTTTGACCCGAACATGCCTCTTCCTGACAGGCCTGGGCCGACGGGGTTTAGCGTAGAAACCGTCGGTTCAACAAGCTTTTGCGCAATAGCCGTCCTGGACACAACGGCCAATGGAAGTCAACTGTGAGGGGAAGTCAAGAGCCAGATGTTGAGAGGGAATGGCGGGGTGGGGTCAGGATATTCTTGATGTGTGTTTTGCTGCCTTTCGGTGGCTGCAAGGGTGTGTGGAGGTAGGCATTTGTATCAAGGTGCCAGGACAAAGTGCTGTCATGCAGGGGCTTTGTGCCAAAGACAGTTCCTCTTCACAAGATTGTCAGGACTTGCCTCTGAAGTTTCACTATGGCATGGGATGATTTGGCTTGGGTGTAACAACATGGATGACACGGATTTCCTGCACCGGCCGCGGCAACATGCAAGCTTGAACTCTACAGACAGGACCCCAGCTTGACTCGATAGATGTTTGGTCTTTAGTGGGGTGGTGTGTTGACAAGGGACTGCTCATTTCGATGGGTGACTGGAAGGAGGCAGACACTGGGAGTTGAAAGCAATCCCTTGGATTCTTCCAGGATAACTGCTTCACTTTGCGTGTAAGCGGACTCAAACTAGGCACCGAAAAGATCACCAGGAGCGCAAGTCGTTGATTCTTGGTAAGTTTTCCGCACCCCCTGTTCATGATGCACAGCTGTGCCGGTTCCCGCCAGGGATTCATGTGCTGGGCTCAGATACGTTCCATGCGTGTGGGCGAGAGGGCTGGCTGGCACTGTCCTCTTTTTGTCCATTGCAAGTCGGGTAATCAATCAACGGCACTGCCGAGCTGCATCCTTGTGCTGTTGGTTGTCATATCCCAGCGCAGCAAGCACCCAGAATGGAGACCCAGGCCCATGATATGATATATATATATATATATGTTTGGGTGCGTGTGTGTGTGTGTCAGGGAGAAAGAAAGCCATGGCAGCACTTCCGTTGCATGATAGAATTTCATGGCCCGGATTCCTGTCACAGTGCCACAATGCCACTGCATGTTCTACAGGAAGTGCCGCTTGCTTGACTGGTGCTGGAAGCGGTCTCCTCATGAAAGGGAAAGGAGCACGAGCCATTATTCACTGACGTGAGGGTGTTTGGAGAAAGATGCCATTGCTCCGCCATCGTGACATCAAAGGCAGATTGGAATGGACCATGCGATCAATTATGTTTGTTTCGATGGTGTGATTTTTGGCGTAGGTCGTAGCATTTGTAAAGCTGAGAGGTGTTCAAAGTGAAGAGCCACTTTGCCTCAGCACCATCAAGGGAAGCATCGCAGGCGATTCTCAATTTGTCCCTTCACCAAGGGGATGTGACAACATGTGGGGGTGTGAGCACCTGCAATTGAACAAGTTTGCAGCAGGAGGCACATTGGGATACATTACACATGTGCTAATTATATATATATACAGTATACGTATATATACACTTGCTGCCAAGCTTTCCAAGATCTGTTGGCCGACATCAAGTGGGCGGTTGTCGCGTTGGCCAGTGACATTCCCGAATGCTTCGTTAGATCCGTTGCCCTCCTATGGAAAGCAAAGCCAGTAGTGGCCAGCAGAATAGTGAGCCTGGGATGCATGGATGGATTTAGAACATGATCCAACCTTTGATCAAACATATCAAACCTTACAAGCCTAAATGACATCTGAAGACGGTCGTACGGCCCCGTGATTTGTTGCAGTTGCCCTGAGGGATCATCCGCTCCCATTTGTTACTATCCAGGGTCGCACTGGCATTTGTTGTTTTCCGAGTCCCAAGCCCTAACGATGCTGTCCAGCGGAGATGGCAACTTCCCCGTTTGCCTCACATATGGCCTGAGCGGCCCAAGTGGAAGAGAGGGGCAATTTGTGGGGTCTTTGCAGTTGACAACCAGGGGCGGTTTAGCCATGTATTGCTCGCCATGTGGTTGACAGGTGATGTGTTGGAGGCGGACCGAGATGGGCGATTGTCGAGATTTCAGAGCCGGCCAGGTCGGTGCTCATGCCGTTCTCCTATTCTTCACGTGGTCGTTGGATCTGAGATGGCAAGTCCCAAGGAGCATGAAGCTTACATTGTTCGAGGGCCTGGTTTAAACTTCCGTCCTTTTGCTGTCTTGCGCGTGCAAGAGCGAATGACCAAGGCACAGGCCCCAGGCCGTAGGGCGAGTGACTCTTGGCAAAGTCATCTTCAACCTGACTTATGCTTGCCAACTTGGTACTCATGCATGTCTCGCATGGCAAGCCTAACTGCACTCTAAACCTCAAGAAGAACATTCTTGTGCCCCTCACGTGGCTTTGATGTTGGCCCAGGGATGCTTTAGCACCATGTTGGGTTGCCGGGGTGGGTTGGCCCGGGACGATGGCGAGTTGAAAGTGCATCGCGTTGAACAGGTGCTCAAATGTGCCACGAATCACTGCATTTTCAAGCATGCCTCCCAGGAATGTCGCTTGCCAAACCCTGCAACTTCGCGTTCCCGAGATAACAACTGGAGTACGCTGCCATGACAGTTCCACATTTTTTATCAGGCTGAAGGCTTCGCCGGCGCCAGCTCCCCATTAGGTGGCCGTCCCCAAACACCAACAAGTCACCCCAAAAGCAAAGAGGGTGCCCTTCTAAAAAAAAGCCCTGCCGTCAAGCATCAATTCTGTCAGCGGACGTATATGTGTATATATATATATGTGTGTTTTTATATATATATTATTATTTTTTTTTTATTTTATTTATGTATTTATTTATATATATATATATATGTATAAAGTTATATTTATATGTCATATATATATACATATATATATATTTAAATATATACATATATGACATATGAATATAAATGTATATATATATATATATAACTTATTAAACAATATATATATATATGGTGCCGTGTTCCGTGTTGCTACCCCCCCCCCCCCCCCCATATGGTATGGTCCCCCAGGACCCCCCCCCGGCCCGAGACCCCGAGCCCCCGGATCCTGGCACCTACGGTCCCACCCCCACCCCGACCCCCTGAACTCGCACCCCGACACCCCGGCACCCCCACCCCCAGGCCAAGCCAACCCGCAACCCACCATAAACCAACCCTAAACTAACCCTAAACCAACCCTAAATACACCCTAAACCGTAGACCTTTAAACCTAAACCAACCCTAAATCAACATAAACCAACCCTAAACTAACCCTAAACCAACCCTAAACTAACCCCAAATACACCCTAAACCAATCCCTAAACAATAAACCCTAAACCTAAACCAACCCTAAACCAACCCTAAATACACCCTAAACCAAACCCTAAACCAAACCCTAAACCGTACACCTCTAAACCTAAACCAACCCTAAACCAACCCTAAATCAACATAAAGCAACCTAAATTAACCCTGAACCAACCCTAAACTACCCCTAAATACACCCTAAATATACCCTAAACCAATTCTAAACCAACCCTAAACCACCACAACCCAACCACAGGACCACAACCACCCTGGTACTTGTCTGACCCATGTGGGGGGGAGGGGGGGGGGAGGGGGGGGGGGCTGGCAACGCTGTACCATATATACGTACATGCCTCCGTAGAGCATCTACATACCGCACATCTTCATGCCACCACTTTCGCAAGAACGGAATGGGCGATACCTTCGCCAAACGAAGTAGTATGACCAAAGCTAAACTTGCAGACTCCATCTGCTTGAGCACTCAAGAAGGTGCGAGCACGTTACGAAGCAGTCCTGCATTACATCACCCCAGCCGAACAAGCACCCCGCCCGAAAAAAGCGGTCGCCTCTCCTCCACCCCAAAGAGCGGTCGCCTCTCCTCTCATGAACGCTATCGTCCCCACCCCACCCCACCCCAAAGAGCGGTCGCGTCTCCTCTCATCAACGCTATCATCCCAACCCCACCCCACCCCACCCCATCCCAAAGAGCGGTCACCTCTCATCTCATGAACACTATCATCCCCACCCCACCACCCCACCCACCCCACCCCGGGCCAACCCCCCCGTCAACCCACCATGTTGGTTGCCACCCGAAAGAGATTCTACCGCAGGCGGGTTGAGTGGTGTTGTTCGGCTCATAGCCTTGCCATGCATTTGCCTTCGAATTCGAGCCAGGCGATATTTCAATCTGGAGATGCCGTTGAGGACGAAATTGCCAGGGTCCGCGTACACGTGCGCTGCCGCACCCGCTGCCAAGCATTCAAAAGGGCGACAGCTTGAGATTGTTTTTATGGCGCCCTGCTCTGCAACAGCACATTCCACAGTTTCGAGGGAGTAGCTTTGCCACCCGTGGGGCAAGGAGGGAGCCTTCGCACAGCCTTCTTCAAAGGCCAGGTAGGATTCAAGATGCTGGCTATGGCACGCGGAATTAACTTCCTTCCACTGCTGCTTTGGCATGACACCCACTGTTTTGGAATAACAGTTTGTCATATCTACCTGTGCCATGCAGCCTTTTGCTCCCAGAAAGTTAACTCAACCTCATAATGCAAGCAAGCTGGCGTGCGTGTATGTTTGTGTGAGAGTTTGAGTGTTTTTGATGTTTGCTTGCTTGATTGTTGCAAGACTGATTCTATCATTGATCGTGTATTCCCCTGCTTGCTTGTTTGCGTTGTTTTTGTGTTTCCTTACTTTGGTTCTCTTGTGTGTTTGTTTGTTTGTTTGTTTGTTTGTTTGTTTGTTTGTTTGTTTGTTCCTGGAGCACCCTTCGTTACCTAAATTTCTGCCCTTAGCCCAAACGTATTGCAAAACCAGGGGTCGTCACCAAAATATGGTAAACGTACACTTTTTCCTGCTTCGAGCGTTTTTCCCAAAACCGAGCTGGTCGGTCCTCCAAGATGATCTTTCGTTGAATTTTCGAAAGGAGCGAGCAGAAATCAAAGTGCAAAACGAGCGCAAATATCCGCAAAACGAGCGCAAATAGCCGCAAACGAGTGCAAATTTAAAAACCGTAACAATGCCCGCCTTCCTCTGGATGGAAGAAGGGGATTTGGTCGAGCGTTTTTCGGGGGGCGAGCGTTTTTTGGGGGGTCGGGCAGAAATCGGTAATTCGAGCGTTTTTTTTCTCGTACCCAACAAAAAAGGGCACGTTGGGTGCCTCAGGTTTGTTTGTTTGTCTGTTTGCTTGTTTGTTTGTCTCTTTGTCTGTCAGTTTGTCTGTCTGTCTGTCTGTCTGTTTGTTGGCTGGCTGGCTGGCTGGCTGGTTGGTTGGTTGGTTGGTTGGTCGGTTGGTTGATTGGTTGTTGCTGTTTGTTATTAACTTGTATTCCATTGCATTCTGTGTTGTATGTGCGTGTATGTTGTTTTTTTGTGTGTGGTTTTTCTCGTTTTTTTGTGGTGTGTGTGTGTGTGTGTTTGAGACTCCGGCGCTTGCGGTCATGCAGTCTGCGACCTGCCGACAGGCGGCGAAAGTCGAGGCCACAGAGCCCAAGCTGCCGCCACCACTTTGAGGACATGCCGCCTTTGCCCAGGTTGCCATGTGGCCATGGGGATGTCATGTGGCCATGGGTCAAAAGCCAAAATGGGTCAAAACCCTCAGTGAACATCAACCAATCCAACCACTAAAATAGGTTCTAAAATGGGTGGTGAATTCACCTACCCCAAAATGGTACCATTGGTTTTGACCCACGGCCATGTGTTGTTGCTTTCAACAATGTGTTTCCAACATAGCTATGTTTGCTCAAATTTATTGGGCAACCGTGCTGACAGCTTCGTGCGCACAAGCGTGGCCTTGTGCGCTTGGCTTGTAGCTGAACACGGAACTGGCCAGGATGGAGCGTAGAATGAGGTGACCGAATTCGACATCACAGGCCTGGGCAGCTTGACAATTGTTGGGACGTCAGCAATCACACGGCAACAGAGTTGGCCAGAAAGGTGAAGTAACCCGCTGCTGCCAGGTTGCACCAAGCTTCCGGGAGTGACCTTCCCTTGCACGTTAATTCAGGCAGTTGGTTTGCATGGCAGGCGAAGCCAGGTGTGCTGCTCAGCCTGCCTGCAAGCAAAACCAGCCAATGACAGAATGCCTTCCTTGGATGCCCTCAGATGAAATTGACAGCTTGATGACAATGTACTGGCTCTCTCGCTTTGCTTTATCCCCTCGAGGACAGCTCTTCGCTCTGGCAAGTTTCAGGGCGCATCTGGTCTAGGTACCCACCAGGAATATCAAACAACTTAATGCAGCGTTGACTCGTCCAAAAAAGGGGCAGGAAAAAACAATAGCATGAGAGAAAGGGAGAGAGATAGAGAGCTTGACATGCTCAAAGTATTTGTCAGTGTGTCGCGTCGCCGGTTTGTGTGGTTGTTTGCCGGTTTGTTCGTCGATGTATGTCTATATGTTTTTTTTTTACGGGTATAAAGAAAAATGGGTGCACGGCCCCGGTTCTTAATGCCACGGTGTTTGACTTTCAACGGGGAGAGGACCGCTCTTGAATAAGCGAGCCTCCTGGCCTTTGCAGAACCTGCAATGACAAGTGAAGAGTGGCGTGCGAGCACGTTTAGCTTGTGCGCCACTGGTGTCGGCTGGCAGCTTTGGCTTGTGGACCCGCTCTCTTGCCCCTTATCAGGCGCCTCACCAGGCGCCACCCAGGCCCAGGGAGGCCCAGGACGCGATTGACGTCGAGGTTCGGAGCTTCAGAAAGCGCAGCAAGTGGTCGAGGAGCCGGAAGAAAAAGAAAGGAAGCCAAGAGCTACAAGCGGAGATCAGAGGGGGCTCCGCAGGATTCAATATCATCAAGGAACAGCGCAGCCTACAGAGGAGACCGGCCCCCTTTGAGAGGGTTAGAGGAGCAGGACACCGAAAGACTCGGCAGCGGGCGAGTTGTCCAGTCGCAAGAAAATAGCGGCCTTGCTGCTTCCGTCGCTATCAGATTATCTCTCCTCCTCCTCTTTTCATGGCGCAAAACAGTGCCTCCCTCTTGGTGGCTGTTCCTCCTCTGACGCCGTATCTCGGGCTGTCTTGTCCTTCACACCAGGTCCCTGCCTTCTCACAGCCCGCCTCATCTGCTCATCCTCCTCCTCCACCACAGCCTCATCCAGATTCGTCATCCAATCCAACTGTCACCTCACCCCACCTTTCGAGCATGGACCAACGGCTTGTCGCCAGCTCTCCTCCGCAGTCATCTCCGCATACGTTGCAACTGCGCTCAGCGCGTACATTTACCCCGCATCACGTTCAGCAGCATGGATCGTTGCCACAGAAGGCTGAATCTGGGTCAGTTTTGCTTTAGGGACGGGAGAAGGCTGGGCACCTACCCTTTCTGGTTTGGCGAAGAGGCTAGTGTTCGAGGCCCCGAAAAGGTTGGCCGAGACTCGGCTTGATCTGAGGGCCAAATTCTGTTTGGGAAAGATGAGGAGTTCTGGTGCGATAGAGGGAATATTTATATATATTTTTTCTATACACATGCATATATCTGGGTGATAAATATACCACTATATGCATACGCATATTTACTACCTGAAACGGAACGGCACAGCTTCGTTTTGCAAATTATACTCGCGCTCGCGTTTCCGAGACTCGGCTTGATTTGACAAATTCTTTTGGGAAAGATGAGGAGTTCTGGTGCGATAGAGGGAATATTTATATATATTTTTTCTATACACATGCATATATCTGGGTGATAAATATACCACTATATGCATACGCATATTTACTACCTGAAACGGAACGGCACAGCTTCGTTTTGCAAATTATACTCGCGCTTTCGGAGACCGAGGCCGGTTAAACCTTACAAATTCTTAAATATTTGGTTTTTCTTGCACCCTTTGCCACGCCAGAAAGTGCAAATATGAAATAGTGCAGACGAGAATAAGGCCTTTTCGAGGTTTTGTTGGTTTTGTTGAGATATTTGGGTAGACGAAACGATAAAATCTTGAAATAATCCTCTTTTGTGCCGGCTATTAATTTAAATTTTAAAATTAATTTAAATTTTATATATTTTTGTTGTTTTATTTGTTTATAATATATTATTTAAAATATTTAATTAAAATAAATATATAATATTTGCATTTTTTGTTGTTTTATATATAGATATTTTATTAGGATTATAAAGGAATTAATTTGAATATTGGATTTAATTTTTGAATTTTATTATTAAATAATTCGAATATATATATATATAATTAATAGATATATATTATTTAATTTAGAATATTGAATATTATGGTTTGATTTAAAATAGATTTTAAA